AACGACAGTTCATACAACTTAATAAAAGGCGATATTAGGTGTAAGCTGTTTAGGAAATTAATTACCTTACCAATAGCTTAGAAATGACGTAAGAGAATGCTTGTTAGTGAAAATTAATCAATGCTATCACTTACATAAGGAATAAAAATGGACTTATATGGCTTTGTTTTCCTCTTTCTTTCAGATCACTCAATACTTTCGCGAATCAATGGTCAATTTTACTGCGCAATGTCCTCTGAGGATCATAATGTCTCTGCTGCATCACTGAAAAAAATTCCCTTCACAATATCTGTGCATATCAATTAGGCTATTGTTAATGTGTCATTGGCCATTATAACCGCGCATTTTTCCAAATTTGTCAACTTTTCAGAACTGGAGTGAGGAAAAATTAAAGGCCACTTTAAGGCAGATATGTGGCCTAAATACAAGATTGAAAATGACTGAATACATCATTGTTATAAGAAAAAAAGATGAGTCCCTAATTCAAACCCTAGAGGAATGCACCCCGGGATGGAAGGCCCATACGACGTATGTGGCTTGAAGTAAAATGTCTGCTAAAGGTAACTCTTTATTTGCGATTGTCGTTTAGTTTGGAAAATTTCCAATTTTTGTATTGAATTGGGAATAAATGAATAACGGGGCTCAGTATAGCATGATACATTTCTTGTAAACAGCTGGGGTTGGACTGACGGACGTCGTCGAAAAGACTTGTGTAATTTTTGTTGGCCCACCATCGAAAAGTGCTACTAATTGGTTTGTGGCTGAGAATGAGGCGGACTTCATGTGGCACGTCATAAAGCTTTTCGTGCCTCCAAGAGGGACTATATTAGAGTTTGGAAACTCATATACTCAAGGTAACACACAATTATAAATATAACATGCCGTTTTTGAAGTTCCACATCCTGCGGTCCCTTATTTTCTGTGCCATAGTACGCTAACTGAATTCTTAAAGGGGGAATCGAGACATTACTACTGACTCACAGTTACCCTACCACCAAATCACAGTTACCTCTAGTTAAAACAACTTTTAGGAATATCAATGAGTACTAACTAATTTGTTTCTTGTTTTTATGTGTTTTAGTAAGTTCCTGCCTAAAACAATCCGTCGAAAGGAAAGTAAACTTGCTATCCCTTCGCAGAAA